CTGTACTTTATGCCGATTAAAAAATTTTTAATAATTTCTTATTATAATAGACGTTTGTATACCTCCAAGCTATTGTCAATTATCGGAAGGCCATAAGAATCAATGATCCGTTTTTAAAAAGGGCTGCAAAAAGAGCGTTTTCTCCTATTTGGTCTGCGCAGCGTCATCCCATTTATCGTCTATTAGAAGTTGCTGATGAAGTTCAATTGATGCAACTTCGCCCTAAGATACGTGATGTTGTAAAGAGAAATTGTGTCATTTTTCGGTCTGGGATTTACGAACAACATCAAGGATTAGACGCAATTATAAAGGAGATAAATAAAACTTTAAAATCTTTAATATCTCCTATTCCACAAGATTGTCATTGGAAGATTGCGGCACGTAACTGTAAAAAATTCTTCAAGGTAAAATTAATCTTAATTAATTAATTAATTGATTGATAAATTGAAATTTACAAATTTAATTTGATAATCCGTTTTAGCTTAGGAACAATTTATTTAATGTAATTGAATATAACAATAGTCAACCGTCAGGACCAAGAACTTGACCAGATTCAACCGTAGAATGTCAAAGATTTCACGCTCTTCTGCGAAGTTTTGAGTTCATAAACCCAGTGAACTCGCGAAATGTTTGTCGGAGTTTAGGCGAAGAAAATGAATTGAACGAGAATTTAAAAAATTTTACAAGTTCTGCAAAAATGGCATGGCAAAAGTTTATTATCGAAACATATATTAATAAAAATAACTCGTTTCAATTTAGGCTAATACCGGTTACAAAACAAGAAGCCGATGCTCAGAAAAATGAACAAAATATGAAGAAAGAAGACATTTTGCTTAAGATAGAAACTCTTCTTGAGCAGCTTGGTAAAAGTGCCCGAAAAAAGTACTCGAGGTTAAGGTCGAAAAATCGAAAGCAATTGTTAGAAATACTACAAGAAATCAAATGCTTATTCGAACCTGATAATAAGCTTAACGATCAAGATTGTCCAGAAAATTTGAAAGTAGAAGCAGATCAACAGGAATCGTGATTTAACACAAATATACCGGGTTTGTGAAAAGTAACTGAACAGTGATATTTTTTTTAATCACTATGATTATCATTTTAACGTTTAGTAATCATTGCGATAAATTAAAAATTGTAATAATTTTTAATTTATTGCAATGATTACTAAACGTTAAAATGATAATCATAGTGATTGAAAAAAGACACTGTTAAGTTACTTTTCATCAACCCGGTATAACTCATTTAGAAGTATATCAGATGTTTCAAAAGTCACTATACGCATCCTTTTTTTAAGTGACCTTATATATAGAGATCAAGAAATTATTTACAGCTGTTTTCTTAAATTCTGGGACAACTGGCAAAAAATTTACTAGCCGAATATTTACCGATTCGATAAGTTTTGATTCGGCAGTGATCATTACCGAAATCACGAACTTATCGAATCGACAAATATTCAGCTAGTAAATTTTTTGTCAGTTGTCCCAGAATTTATGAAAACAGCTATAAAAAGGACGTTTATAGTGACTTTTGAAACATCCAGGTATATGCACTTATTGGCTTTTTTTTTTCTCTTCTTATTGGCATTTTTATATAATAAGGAATTAAGAATATGGCTAAGTATTTTCATTCTTTTTGTATATTTTATATTTTGCTTGTTTCAATTAGGGTTTATTATACTAACAGTATTTTATCTTTATAACCTAGGTTATTTTAGGATTTTATAAACTTCAGGCACTGTATTATTATAATTATGTCCAGTATTTGTACTAGAATTTAACATTCAAAACATCTTGAGCTCTTAGTAAACTGAAAAATATGGTGATTATTTTCAGTATTACGTGAATGATTTTACTACGAAGTCATAATCTAATCATATGATTTACATCTAGATCCCGATTATCCAACGAGCTCATTAATAATTTTATTATTATTATTATTATTATTATTATTGTTATTAGCCGGTTGTTAAAATGTATTTATTTCTTGATTTATTTCTTGTAGCTAGGAGTATGTCACGTTCCAAATGCTATTCAGTAAGAAAGGATACGAAAAGTTTACTGGTTTGTATTGCTTCATTCTTAAAGGGTGTTAATTTGTATGCTAAATTACAATTGCGTGTTTGAGAGTTTTTTTCTTTAATAAATAGCAGGAATGGTGAGAAATTCGAACCTACGAATCACTTTTGACTTGGGGCTTCTCTTTGAACTTGAAGACACAACTTAAACAAAAAAATATAGTGATTTTGCAGTCATACTCAATCTTTATAAAATTAGCCACAAGGCATCTTCAAGGGCAGGATACCTGGACCCGTGACATTAGTAGAATTAGAAGAGTAGTGGATGGTGTATTATTATTGGTTATTTTATGATATGTTTTCGAATGACGATTTAGCTCTTAATTATGATTTATCTCTAAAGGTGATATTGAAGTCAGAAAGGATGAATATAAGCATTTAAATATTATCAAAAATTCGCAGAGATGGATCATTCTAGTGGAAAATTCGGTCTTGATCATCGCTATAAAAATGGAATTGGAATTGGCAAAAATAAAAATGAGGTGTAGGGTGGGTAATGCTAATGGAATATTTATATTAGTTATTGTTATATATTAAAATGTAAAATTTAAATTTTAAATAACTTATCTGTTAATCCATTTACATAATTTGTCTTTATTCTTGCCGCGCAAATTCAGTACCTGTACAAATGGCAGTTTTGAATAGTGATTTAAGCCGTAAGATTTTAGTCAGCTAGCTAAGCCAGCTGATAAAAATATCGGCTAATCGGCTAGCTAACAGCTGACAAACACCTTACTTCCGGAAAATTTCAGTAAACTTAGCTCGTTCTTGCTTGTATTTCATTTTCCTTTTCAGAATTTACTGGAATCTTACTATATACTTAATCATATAATCTTTAGCCGTATTAGCCAGCTGATCATATTACATTGGCTGGCTCGGCCAGCTAAGCCAGCTTAGCCACGGCTGCCATAGCTGGCTTAAATTACTAGTTTTGAAATACATCCGTGAAACTATATGCGCTAAAAGAAACTAAGGTATTTATTTATTCAAATACTAGTGGAGTATCTAATGATTATTGCTATCATAATGGAATTGGTGTTTCAAAAGATTGATAGAGCATCTAATTTTCCAGATAATATGTACCATCATGGTTTTTTTTTTTTTTTGACATTTATTTATTTTATTTTTGTATTTTTTTTTTATTTATATTTTTATTTAATGAAAGTGGGATAAATTATATTAATAACATTAATAAAATGCCACCATTCGTTGGTTGTGACATTTTAAAAGTTAATGCTGAGTTTTATTTATTTGAATTGGTAACTATTTAATGCATGTTGACAAGAGTCAACGGATTGAAAAGACAGGGCACTGATAGCAGGGCATGGGTCGAGGTCGAATGAAACATCATACCACAGGAAGTTCATGCGAATAAAATGACGTAGAGATAGCCACCGATCACAATTAGTATTTAAAGAAGCGACAAACAATTCAATTGCAATGCTCTTTCCTCTTTCAGCACAACTAAGCATTATAACTGTCTCATTTATCTCAACCCAACCCTTCCCACTACACATAGCAGTCTCCTGACTCTGCCATTTTTATATTTAACAGCCGGCCTGCTTCGAGCAGGCGGGAAACCACCAGCTGATGCTACTTCTCACTCGTTCTACTGTTATGGGCACAATTTTGCTAATTTTTCCTGGAGTATACTATCATTTCAGTTCAAATCACTCAGCTCAAATTACTCAGTTCAATAATTCAGTTCAAAAACTCACAATGTATTCTGCGAACTTAAAGTCCTTTAATTGATTCCGACACCTTTGGATAGCCGGCATTCTTCCAGTTACATGACCAGTCGTACCTATGCTTTTCGATTAAATTAAAAATTTATTAATTTAACTGGTAACTATTTCAGTATTTAGTGTATCATAAAGAGCTAACTGATGTATCTGAGTACAGCTTATAGGGAATCTATCAATTTTTATGGGATATTCATTAGGTTTTCATAACCTGACCGTGTTAAATTTTATAAGATTTTTTGAAAATAAGCCAGTTTGTCGGGTCACTTATAAAAATTTTATGTTTTGAAAACCGATTTATTTAAGTTTGTAGCCTTAATTATTGTAAGAAAATAATTTTTTGAAAAAAAAAATTGTACGTGTCGTGGTGATTAGAACAATTCTAAAGAAAAGTCTAGAATAATCTGATCGACGATTTAATGCTATATAAGAAGTGATCTGCATATTCCTAATTCTGTAATTTGGTATATTCCCGGACTGCATTAAAGCTCATGCTTGTGAAAAATTTACTTTATTAATACTTTTTAAGATTTTTTTATGAGAATGCTACTATTTATGAATAAAAAAAAAAAAAAAAAGTAAAAGGATACATCTGGAATTGCGTGAAATAATGCGGTTTAAACAAAATTTTTTTTGTTGCATTATTTATAATCGCTAGTGTATATAAAAAATGTTCGTAGCAAAGCCGCGGGCCATAAGCTAGTTATTTACATGGCAGTTTTTTTAAAAATGCTTAGGCGAAATTATGACAAATTTTGCAAGTTCTTTGTTATGCGAAAATAATTTCTTTGGTAAAATTTCGAGATTGCGATTCTTTGATGTTTTTTTTTTAATTTTCACGTTACACTTGATCTTCGCGACGCACTGTCACTGATTGGACAGAACCAGTGTGTGTTAAATTATAAATTAAAGTTATTACCCGATATGCGCGATAATACGATCGAACATTAATGCTGGCAATCGGATCTATTTTAATATAAAAATTTTTCGGGGAGCGGTTAAATGGGGTTTATATTTTCAAATAGAGGCCCCAATTTCCAGCATCAGCGACAATAAATCAAACACATACATTGCTTTCGAGAATTAAACCCATACCATTTACAAACTAAAGCTAAATCACCAGAAGTCGTAAACAAGAATTAAACAGGCTGTACATTGATTGGTATCCTTAAATTTTTAATATGAATGACGAAAACCGATCCTTGCAACAAGAGGAATTCCTTGCACTGACATCAATTTTTGGAACTGATTCATTTAAAGCTAACAATATCGACGAATTAGCAGAAGAATTCCAATCCTATACTTTTAAATTATCTTTAGAAAATGAACCTACATCTAGTTCCCAGTCAAACCGTTCAGAGAATTCACTTACATTGCAATTCTATCTTCCACAAGATTACCCTTCTTCTTCACAACCGACATATGAAATAACAAGTTTATACTGTGGAACTTTAAAGATTGATGATAAATTAAGAAATAAGATTGACGAAAAATTTAAAGAATTATTTGTTCCGGGACAAGTTGTACTTTTTGAATGGATCGAATTTTTAAGAGAATTTATGCAGCAAACACTTGAACAACAGCTTGCCAAAAAAATGCAAGAAGAGGAAATTAAAGAAGAATTAATGCTCGAAGATGAAATAATAACAGAAGAGTATGAAGAACAAAACCTTCGAGATGAATCAAAACAAATCGCGGATTTCCCCAATATAAAATCAGGGGAACCATTAGAGCACAAGAAATCTGTATTTATGGCTCATTTAGCGTCAGTACAAAATGTGCAAGAGGTCCAAATTGTTAGAAATACATTATTATCAAACAAAAAAGTTGCTAAAGCAACACATAATATAATGGCATATAGAATTGTGCAAGATAATGGGGTGATATTACAAGGTATTTATTAATCTATTGATTGATATTAGTTTGATATTAAAGAACTTTTATAATTAGATAATGATGATGATGGAGAAACAGCAGCTGGTAGCAGATTGCTTCATTTATTACAAATTCTCGATGCTAAAAATGTAATAGTGATTGTCTCAAGGTGGTATGGTGGCATAAAATTAGGACCAGGTTAGTTTTCTTACATAATGTAGGTATTCTTTTTTTATATCTTATCTAATTAGCTAATTGATATATGAATAGATCGATTTAAAGACATAAATAATTGCGCGAGAGATTTACTTGATAAATATGGATATATGCAGAATAGCAATAGCATTGATCAACGTATATTGTCAAATGACAAAAATGGAAGGACAAAGAAGAAAAAATGAGATAAATAAAATTTTTATAAACATTATTTTCTATGCAAGGAATAAAATGTTTATCCGTTCACCCTAG